CGTTAAATTCACCTACACCTAAGGAACAACCTTGGGCTCATCCGTGTCACAGCTTAATTCAAATTCATACCTTAGCAAACCTGCAAGATACTTTAATGCCTTGGACCTTCAGGGTTTCCTAGCTGAAACCTTGAAAGTTGAAATCCTTAGTCAAAGATTTATTGCATATCCATATACCACATGCTCACCTTTGTAAAGATCTGTGCTCTCAACTGGGTTAACAAAAATATTTAATACACTTAATATTAGGAATCTATAAAGATGTGGTAAAGATGAAGTACATCTTGTGTAATCTGTCCAGTACAACCAGCTGTGGTCTGAGTAGAAATGATAACACAAGGATGAAGGATCAAAGAGGATAGTACATGTGAGGGGATAAAGAATAACGTACTATACAAATGTGAGAAGTAGGTGGTAATGTTAATAATAAACTACAGTATGTTGCGCATATTAAGTTTACATAATGTTCTATGTCAATTTTATCTCAATAAAGCTGTGAAAAAAAATCATAGAAAAACATAGGAAAACACAGGAAATCCTCTCTTAGCTGAAACTATTAGAGCAGTTTGTTAGCTGGCTACTTAGAAAAGTCAGTAAAAGCAAGGAATCCCAGAAAATGATAAATACACATCAAAACCATTTTATTTTAATTTAAACCATGAATAAGTGTCATTCATTCACCAATCCTCTCTGTAGAGCCAAGCCCTTATCTGTGTTTAGATTTGTTGTCTGGAATTCCACTCTTTCTTACCTAAACCACATCCATAATGCATTATTTATGATGGCAGTTTCAGGTCTCTTAAAATGTGGCAAGAACTTCAACACTTACGAAATAATCGAAACAAACTTCTTCTGACTTTTTATAGTTTGTTCCAATATTCTGCATTTTTCTTGTTCACCCCTAATTGTCTTTTAGAAATTGGCAACTTCGAAAAGAACTCGCTTTTCTCAAATTTTTTCAGAGCATTCAACTTTTTTTTGTACTCCTCTTTTTATACTAATTTTGCATGTTTACAGAATATTCAATAACAAATGTACCCAGCATAAGTAAGTTCAGAAACAAACACAACTGGCTTTTCATAAGTAAACCATTTAACTTGTACAAATAAATGTACACAAGCACCATGTGGAGAAGCCTACTGGCCACAAATAGCCAGCATGCTGGGAACTTCAGTCAGTCTGTTTTACCAAGGAACTGGACAGCACTGGCTTATCCATCTGCTTGGTTAATTAGATGTCAGTTGAAAGACTTTTTGCCACCTTGTAATTCAGGTCTCAAGCATAGCTGTGTACGAAGAAAGTTCAAAATAGTTTCCCTGTCACATGTATATATGCTACCTTTTACATTTTCCTCTATCATATACGATGTACATTTAAAGGCAATGAAGTCAAAGAGTAAAACAATTCAAGAATATTTAAAAGAAGCAATGGAAAAGGAATTCAGATGTTTAAAGAGAACATGATGAAATAATCAGAGAATTTGACTCCTGACAAAAGAACTTAAATGAGTCAATAAAAGACATTTTAGGCAAATTACAATAGTCCTACATGAATTTGAAAAAAATTGATGATCCATCTTTAAAACATCCCATTAAGAGCATGAAAAAGAAGCTTTCTGAACTGGAAATAAATATGTCAGTGCGAGATACCTGCTTGAAAATGTTAAGTTTAGATTAGCTGTATTCCTTTTGTGATCTTAAGGGGAGGCAAAGGTGATGTGAGAACTTACTTATTTCACTGGAAACCTGGTTCAGTTTGTCCTGCGATCTGCTGATAAGGACAATCTTCATGCCACGCTTTGCTAACTGAAACAATAAAAGAGACGCCGGATAGCTGAATCATACCAGTGCATTTCACTTTAAAATGTAAATCAGATACAGTCTCATTTTAAGATAACCTGATCATATTGATAACCCAAATTAAGAAACAAATCGTGGGGAGGGTATAGCTCAGTGGTAGACATGTGCTTAGCATGCATGAGGTCCTGGGTTCAATCCTCAATACCTCCATTTAAAAAATAAATAAACCTAAATACCTCCCCCCAAAATAAAATAAAAATAAAGAAAAAAAAAGAAACAAACCCAAGCATAGTGAACAGGAACACCAAAATGAAGACGTTACAAAAGGATTCCCCAAAGGGTTATCTTTCTAAAACAAGCTAGAAGACAAATGTCAAAGGGTTTTAGAAGAAGGAGAAATTTTACTTTTTATTTTGTACCTATCTATATACTGTTTTGGTTTTTTAAATCATAAATATCTATCTTCTTTACAAATTAGCTTTTAAAAAGTTTTTGTTTCAGACTAGATACGGGAAGACTAGAGGACTGGCAAAGAAAATCACAGTTAAAATGTTAGGAATTCCTAAAAATAGAATCAATTTTAAAATGTTTAATTAAACGTTATACTTTACGGACAACAAAGGCAAACTGAGATAGTTAACTGGAAGAATTAATAAGTAACGTCCTGAGGAGTACCTTCTATGTACTTTCCCAGTGCTCAGTAAATGCTGCACAGAATGAACAAAATTTACAGAAATGTGGTTTCCAATCCAGACACACCATAAATATAGAGGCAGAAGAAAAAAAAAAACACTGATATACACAAAACTTTTTAGTGAACTCTTCCAGACAGTATATAAGTGAGAATAAATTAGGTGCTACAAACTGCGTAATTTAGTAAACTAATTTTCCAGCCTTAATACCCAAAGTCAACTTTTATTAAGTAATGGGTAGCACTGCAAATGAGAAGATATGGAAGACCATTTTTTATAAAAATAACTAGGATTGGTAGTAATTTGCTAAATTAATCTTCTATAAAACCACTAAAATACCCATGAATACAGACTGATAATTTTTTTTAAAATTAATGGGGGAGTAAGAACAAGGAAAAGCTCTTATTTATAGAAAAACATCATCTAATATAGATGTAGAAGGAAAGATATCATTTTTTTAAAAATCACCACTTTTAACCACCATGGTAATAACTAATTCAGGCAAAAAATCATCAACAGATATGGGTGGAAGATTGTTGGGAAATGAGATATTCATAGGTCTCAAAGTACCACCCCACAGATTTCTTATTAATCACAAAGGGGAAAATGTACTTTCATAAGGAGAATTATGGTGGACAGCATATTAATAAATGATTTATCTTAATGTAATCAATAAAAGAACAAATAGACCTCTTGTGTCTCCTGATAAGGTAAACTCAAAGGGATACAGTATCACTTGCGTAGCATTCCTGCTAAAAAAAAATGTTTAACCTGAATCTAATTATGAGGAAACAGACAAATCCAAGGTGAGAAATCTACAAAACAACTGGCCTGGATTTTTCAAAAATGCCAGTTATAAAAGAAAAAGGAAAAAACTAAAAAGGAGGCTAGGGAACTCTTCCAGTTTAGAGACGTGATATCTAAATGCAACATATAATCCTTAAAAGGATCTTGAAACAAAAAAAGGGGCTCTATAAAAGATGTTATTGGACAATTGGGAAACTTGCTTATGGGCTGTATATTATGTGGTATTATTGTGTCAAGTTAAACTCCCTGTGTGTGTGACCACTGTACTGTGGTTATAGGGGTGAATGTTCTAGTTCTCAGGAGATTCACACAGGAATATTTAAGAGTGAATTGTTACGCTGTAACTCACAAATGGTCCAGCCAAGTTATAATTATAATGATAAAGTTAAATTTGACAAAATATTAATAATTTGGTAAATCCAGGTAAAGGGTATATGGGTGTTCATTGTATTCTTCTTGCAACTTTTCTGTAGTTTTCATATTCAAAATAAAAAGCTAGGAAAACAAAGGATTTTTTCTTAATACTTTTGATAAGACACTTGAGAGATTCAATGAATCTGCGAGGTTCTTCATCACAATCAGGCAACATCAGTGGTGCCTTTACAGAACTGGAAGGCAGGCAGGTCTGCCTTAACAGCACTGCCAAGGCTCCTGCTTTGTACAATGGTCTTCAAGCTATTACAGTTTCCTATCCTTTAATTACACTACGGAGAACCTGAATCCTTTGCCTGTGACTGTCATTATCAGTCAATCACAGTCCTTCTTGTAACAATGATACCACTGACTTGTCTGGAGATATAACCATCCTAATAATACATCTACCTTTTGGAAAATAATTCAAAAAATCAACATTAAAAACTGAGGACTGTCCATAATTATACAATATAAAATAAAATTACACTAAAATTTTCATAACCCCAACTTACCAGGATTAAAAAATTTTACATTCTGCACAAAAATTTGCGTTAAAATTGTGTTTAGGCAAACGTAGTATCTCTGACAAGGCAGAAACAAAGTACATCTACTGTACTAGATAACACTATGTTTGTACTTTTAACTTCAAAAATCAAAACTACTGTAAGAGATTATTCTATATTTGTTCTTATATTTGTATACCAAAAAGACTGGTCTTGAAAATTACATACCTCTTCTGCATATGATTTTCCAATTCCATCAGTACTACCTGTAACAACTGAGAAAAGAAAAAAATAACAGTTTAGTTTAAGAATTACAATGAAGGCAGAGTTGGGGGTGGGGAAGAATTACAATGCAGAACTGATCATAGGACCCACCAATTAGACACAAGAGGATCTGTGTAATAGAGTTGACCCTGGAGTAACATAGGTTTGAACTGCAAGGGTCTACTTATACACAGATTTTTTCCCAATAAATACATACTATAGTACTACATGACCCAAGGTTGGTTGAATCCCCGATGCAAAACCTTGCATGCGGAACCTTGGATATTGAGAGCCATCTCTAAAGTTAGACTTGGATTTTCCACTGCTTGGAGAGTCTGTGCCCCAGCCCCCCATGCTGTTCAAGGGTCAACTGCACTTTGAGGTTGGAAGTTTGAACTGGTATCACATGGCTCAAAGCTCTAATCTTCTAACCACATGGTTGGTGTTTCTGGCAGGACCAGCCCCCATCTTGAAGCTCTGTAGGGTCCCACTATGAGTGACCTCATTAGTATAAATTACCAGAGCCCAGCATGAGTAACAAAGACACTCCTGTCACTGAGGAAATTCCAAGGATTTAGATACTCCCTCCCAGGAACCAGAGACAAAGGCCAGTCAAATTCTTTATTATACAATTACTGTGACTGAAAAAATGTATTACCCAATGTGGAGCTGACTGGCACTCTCTGGAGTCATAAAACCCCACCACCACCGAGCTCTCTGGGTACCTGGAGCTGATTGACACCTTAACCCCTACCCCCACTGCAGGACCCTTTGCATACCTGCATTTCTGCAAGATATCTTCTCTTGATGTGTGTTTACCCTAACAAAGCTAAACCGCCCCAAGAAATAGCCCAACTCACAATACCCTAGGCAGACAGGCCTCACATCCTGCCCTTATCAGAGCTGTAAATCCTACTGTCCAGAAAAGTTCCTGACAGATCTTACAACCCATCAGGTACCTGTGTATGAACTGATCATGAAGCCCCTACTCCTTGTGTGGACAGCCCCCTCCCCCTCCCCCTCCCCAAAAAGATGCTGTATGTCCACTCTCGGCTCACACAGGTACCTCTCAACTGTGTGGCCCGCTGTTGCCTATAGCAGCATCCTTATTAAACTTTCCTAAACTTTCCTCGGTCTCTGGTAATTCTTTTACCAACCTGGGTCACTGCGTTGTGTCTCACAACATCCACTACTGAACCAAACAGTATAGTACATTTCCTTTCCTAATCAACATTTTTCTTTTACTGGAGTTAAAATGGCCTTTTTCGTACATTTGTGGGAGTTTTCTTTTAAAATATCCTCTCATTCTCTAACAGCTTCCCAATCTAATTTTCTGCACAATCAACCCCATCAATTTGTTCCATTCTTTTTTTCCTTAGAGATCACCCTCACAGACCACTCTTGCTTTTAGCCTACTCCAGCCTAGAACAGATGTTCTGTGGCAGAGCCACTGATCTAGAACATAATCTTGGGAATTCCCTTGCACTCTCTCTGAGACAGGAAGGGGGCAGGGCACAGCCATTCAAGGAACAGCACAGCAATTAACACCAAAATGGCAAAAGATTCAAACCCAGTAGGCCTTGTGGCTCAAGACGTGGGAGATTTGACTTCTAGTAGACCTTGAGCTTCATTATACGCCCACTGTAATATATTAGCATGGTGAATAACATGCCCACAGGTGCCATCACAGTCCCAAGGCTAGCCAGAAAAGGTCAATGAGTGGGAAATGGCCAACTTCCTGAGAATCCCAGCCCCTTCCCCAGGCTAGACTGGCCCTTACACTTATTAGCATATGAAGCCACTGAGCCCATAAAAACGTGGCCTCTGTCTCCTCTCCCTCCCTCTTTGAGAGGGCCCACACTCTTGTCTGTGGAGTGTGTATCTACTTTTACTCTGAGCACACAACCCCAACATCTCGTGGCCTTTCTCTTGCCTTTTGATGTATCTCTGAATAAATCTACCTTTACTCAACTGTGGCTCGCTCTTGAATTCTTTCCTGCGAGAAGCCAAGGACCCACACTTGGCGGGGCACATCCCAGGGGCTCAACCAAAGCCTGGGACATGCCTCTCCTCACACCCCACATCTGTTTTTCCTGCATCATCTTTAAGATACTGTTCTATTCCCTCATTGTGGAGCACTTCCACCAGTAGCTTCTCAAAAAAAGATGCATAAAGATATATTTTGTAAACATTTTGAAAAATAATTTTTGAAGTTTAGAAGTTTTAGACTTACCAAAAAAAAAAAAGATAATACAGATTGTTTCCTATACTCCAAGCCAGTTTCTCCTGTTACTAACATTTTACATTGTTATGGTAAATTTGTCACAATTAATGACCCAATAATGATGTATTATTATTAACTAAAGTTCGTTTTTTTTAGCTTTTCTTGTTACTGAATGTCCTTCTGTTCTAGGATGCCATCCAGAATATCATATCAAATTTAGTTATCATCTCTTCATGTGACAGTTCAAGAAGCAAAAATTTTTAATTATTTATATCTTTAAAAATAAAATCTATATTTTAACCCCACAGGTAATAGTTTAACTAGGGTAGAGGAAGAATGTCACCTGCCATCAGTAAACAAAGGATGTTGTTGGCCATCAAACCATCAGCCACTGCAGCCACCCCCAACTGTGCACCCTGAGGGGATTCAGGATGGAGAAAAACAGGATACTGGCCCTAGATAGTCAAGGTGCATATCAAAGGAATGAGTTCAAAGAGCCCAGGCTGTTGCACCCTCCCATGCAAAGGAAAGTGCTAAATTCATTCACTCGAGATGTTGGGTATTCTTTAATTAACAGTAATCTTTTCATGTTCCAACTACCTGGTTTTTGTTGCAAAAAAACTCCTATATATCCTGGCTCCGCCCTTACCTCTTCAGAACAGTCCGGCAGAGCTCTCTGAGGCTGTCTCCCATGCTTAGGTCCACAGTATGTCCACTAAATAAAGCATACTGCTATACTATGTATAACTGAATCACCATGCTGTGCACCAGAAACTAACACAACATTGTAAATCAACTTTATATACTTCAGTTTTTAAAAAATTCTCAATGTTTAGGTTGTGTATTTTTTTTTCAGTCAACACTAGGTATAGATTCTAAACAGGAGATGATTTTTAAGAAAAAATTAAAAACTCTCCATTTTCTTCTAGCGCCAGTAATGTTTAAAAACTTTCGTCATTCTGATTTCAGACAACTTGTATATGACCTGCTCTTTTGTCACTGGGGTATTTAGGATTATTACTTCATCTTTAGGACTCTGTCATGCTAGGAGAGCTTGGAGTGGATGTGCTTCCTTTCAGTGGTGCTAGGCACTGATGGGCCTTAAAATATATGACCTTCAATTTTGGTAATTTTCTTACATATTAATACTCTAATAATTTCTTCCCCACATTTTTCTCTAGAATTTCTATTAATCAGAGTTTGTACGTTATATAGTTTCTCTATTAATTTTTTCTTGTTTACTTTCCTGGAAATGTCTTCAACCTTTATCTTCCAAACTTTCTATTGACTTTGTAAACTTAGGTTGTCAATTTTTAATTTTGAAGCACTCTTCTCTAAGTCTGATTGCTCTTATCAAGCAGCATCTTGTTCTTACAATAGATCCATTATATCTTCTTATCTCTCAGGACATTAATTAGACTTTGTTTATATATTTACACTTTCTTCTACTCTTTTACTCTGTTTCCTCTAAGTTCCTTTTGATCGATCTGCCTCATCTTGGAGGCAGTAACATGGTGATTAGTGTGTTTGGGTAGGATGACTATACTGTAGCCCTCGCTAGAGGGTAATCAATGGGCAAACCAGCTTTTTCATTAGAGAATCCACAAGTCAGTATCTGTATTTTCTCTAGGACCCTTCAGTATCTCTTAAGCATCTTCCAATTTTCAGTCTTCTGGCTGCTGGGTAGTTGGGCAGCTATTAGTTTGTAGACTTTTCACTCAACCCCTGTTTCTCAGTCTGGTATCTCACCTCTGCCCTCTTCTGTGCCCAATTTCCCAGAGTCTCAAGCACATCTAGTTCAGTGTCCTTCCCCACCCCTGTCTTTTGAGATACCTGATACTTCCAATTCCTGTTCCAATTTTCTGGGGTCCAAGGCAAACTTGCCTGCTTCCCAAGGGTGGACCATCTGTGAGCACTCAGGTTTCTGGTCTGTGAAGTCAGTTACCACTCTTCCAAGTTTATTTGCTGTCACTGAGGATGAGAGATTTCAGAAGTTCCCTAGTTTCATCAAAATGGTGCTTTCTGTTTCTTATTCTCCTAATTATTACAGAAGATTTCCAAGAGATAAAAAGGCTAGAAATACTGTTACTTGGCTATTTTAGAACTGGAAGTTCCCCAAGGGCCCTCTTAAATATATTATATACTAAAGTAGACTAACTTTAGTTGAGGCTAAGATATTAAACACACTTCTCAAAAGATTTAGCTTTATGTTCCTAGCAAGAACATTTTTTCCTATCAGCTCCTGCTAGTAATTATCAAATTTAAATCAAACTTAGTTTTTAGAAACTATTATGTGCATAGCTACAGAGAATACAATGATGTATAAGATCCAGTGGGGCTATCAGGTATTCCATAAATCACCCATTTCATGGTTAGGACTTTAAATATTAAGCAGAAGTAATAAGACTTTAAATTTTACAAAAATTAAAAATTTAGCCTCTGATCTTTTTAGAAAGATAAAAATATCACTTTTCCATATTCCAGAACCAAATCTAGCACCGTATAGTTACACATAAGTCAGATACTACCTCACAAGTATTTTTTTTCTGAGAAAATAGAAAAGCGTAAAAATTTTTTTCATGGGCACAAAGAAATAAAAAAATAAAATTGGAAACCCAGAGCCTCTCTTAGTCATCTCTATAAGCACCACTGCACTTCTGTAATAATCGGAGTCATCTACAACGGCCAGGCAATGGGGGATGAGGTATCATTTCCCTAGCAAAGGAAATGACAAATTTCTTTAGTTCTCTAAGTCAGATGGTAGGTAATGTGTTTGAATAATGTACA